TTGTTTTCAGAGGTAGACCTCTAGGTCTTTCAAAAGTAAGCTATATTGGGGCAGCTAGATGGCGCAGTGGATAAAGCACCAGTTCTGGAGTCAGGAGGACCCGAGTTCAAATCTGGACTTAGACCAGACCCTTGACGCTTACTAGCTGTGTGACCCTAGGCAAGTTAACTTAACTCCAATTGCCTTGCCCCCCCCTCCAAAAAAAAGCTGTACGACTACTTTTGGGAGTTGTTATAAAAGGGATTCCTGGTTAGGTATAGGTTAGACTTAAAAGTCTGGAGGACCTGGGTTCAGATGTCAACTTTTCTATTTGCTACCTGTGTGAATGAGTCCCTTTCACCTTTATTGGATGACAGTTTACAGGCATACCTTCTTTCACTTCACATTATTGTGCTTTGCTTTATTGTACTTCGTGGATATTGCATATTGTTTTTACAAATTGAAGATTTGTGGCAACCCTGTATCAAGTCTATTGGCATCATTTTTTTCCAACAGCATGTACTTAAATCATGTCTCTGTGTCACATTTTGATCATTCTCACAATATTTTGAACTTTTTCATTATTATTATTGTATCTATCTTGGTGATTTGTAATCAGTGATCTTTGATATTACTATTGTAATTGTTTGTTTTGGGGAGCCATAAACCACACCCATATAATACAGCAAACAGCCCATAAATGAGTCTGTGGCCCATCTCTCTCCCTCTCCTTGGGCCTTCCTATTCCCTGAGACACAACAAAATTGAAGAATATTACATAAACTTAGTTGATAAAACAGCAGCAGGGTTTGAGAAGATTGGCTCCAATTTTGGTAAAATGCTATCAAACAGTATCCCATGCTACAGAGAAGAGTCAATCAATGCAACAAACTTCATTGTTGTCTTATTTTAAGGAATTCCCATGGCCACCCCAACCTTCAGTCAGCTGCTGTCAACATCGAGGCAAGACCCTCCACCAGCAAAAACATTACCACTCACTGAAGGCTCAGATGATGGCTAGCATTTTTAGCAATGAAATATTTTTTAATTAAGATATGTACATTTTTTATACATAATACTATTGCATACTTAACAGGCCACATAATGTAAACATAAATTTTATGTGACTTGCTTTATTGCAATGTTCACTTTAGCGCTCTAGAACGGAACTTGCAATATCTCAGAGGTATTCCCTGTACATATTTGTAAAATGAAGGGGTTGTATTTATAATCTCTAAGATACTTTTCAATTTTTCTAAATCTATGAATTACGGGGTCCCTTCCAACTCTGGGATTCTGTATTCTTTGATCTAGTTATAGAGAACTTAGACAAATCTGGTAGTCACTCAGCAAGCACTTATTAAGCACTTACAATGTCCCAGGTATTGTGATAAGTGCTGAGAATATGAATACAAACAAAACGAAAGATGGTACCTGCTCTCAAGGTGTTTATGTTCTAATGGAAGCACATAAAAGAAAGCTGAAAGGGGGCTAGGAAGTAAGTGTCCAGGTCTAGAAATATGCTAGAAGAATCCAGAGTGCAACTTGGTAAGAAATGAAGATGTAGCTCACCTGAGGGCCCTCCTTACTTAACTTTTTCAGAGCTGTTTCCTCACCTTTATGGTGGTAGAGGAAAGATCATAGATGAATGTCAGGTAAACTGGAGCTGATAGTGCAGCAGAAAACCCTAAATTCAGTGACAGCCCTGATCCTTAGTTAGGTGTTGGAAACGTCACTGATTTTCATTTATGAGAAATATGGTCCCTCTAGAAGATAAAGCACAAACTTACCATTTCCTTTTGCAACTTCATTTTTTAGTTCCACGTATTCTTCATATAATGGTCTCATTTCTTTGCCAACTTTAGATCTCCAGCCTTCCCAGGCCCATAGCCTTTCATAATAATCTTTGCTCTCTTCCATAATTTTGTCCAAACCTATTACCACAAAATACATGAAAGTGGATATGTATGTATTTCTGAACTGGACCTAAATTTAATAAACCACTTAATAATATTCTTAGAAGCTATCAATGAAGGAATAATATGGAAATTTCAATTCTTGAAAAGTAAATGAAAATTAATGGACATAGAATTTTTACAGAGGATGACCAAAATGTTATGAGACTTTATATGTTTAAATTAAATAGTTTAAACATAAATAATCATTAAACAAGTTTAGTTATTTGTACTGATGTTCAATGCTAATTTAATAGAACCTTTAAAGAAACAAATCTTTTTTCTACTAACTAGGTGATTAGACATGGCAAAAGTCGTAAGCTATATTACTAATCAATTAGTTAACATTTAGTAAGTACCACTATGTGCCAGCCATTATGCTAGGCACTGGAGATAAAAAGACAAGAATTAAAACTTCCTCAAGAGTTTCCTCAAGAAGCTCACTTTCTATTTAGGGAAAACAATACATTCACATATAGGCAGATGCAAAATGAATACAAGGTAATTGGAGGGCATTAACAGTTATGAAGTTGAAGAATTAAGTTTTGAGGGGAATTTGGGATTCCAACATGTGGAGAGTATTCCAGGCATGGGGGACAATAGCCTGTGAGAAGGTGTGGTGGGGAGACAGAGTGATGGCTTGAGTGAGGAAGCTGGTTTTGCTTGATTCCATGAAGGAGAGTAATGTATACTAAGACTGGAGAGGGAAGATGTGTGTCTATCCCTAAGACATGCACACATTTCGAAGCCTAAAACCCATTAAACACTTGGAAAACCTGGAAATGGGGGGGACATCCCTAACTTGGAACATATAGAGTACCTGGTTCAAGCAACAAACATTCCTGAGTAGTCTTTGGGTTACAGATGGTTGCAGTGCTGTAGAGAGTGCTCATGGTATTCAAGACTGTATTCAGCTATAATCAAAATATTGCATTGTTAGAAAAACCACGACAGAAAATAAATGCAGGATAATTGAGGCTAACATGCTGGCCCTCCATCTGACAATGGAATGACTACTTCATATATATATATATATATGTCTATATATACATAGACATATATATGAAGTATATATGTATGTATGTATGTACACACGTATATATACATATACATACATACATACATACATATATATATATGTATTTATACAGCTAGATGAAACAGTGTATAGAACTCTGGACCTGGAGTTAGGAAGACCTGAATTCAAATCCAACCTCAGACACTCACTAGCTCTGTGCTTCTGGGCAAGTCACTATACTCTGTGTTGACAGAGTATCCTCATCTGTAAAATGAGGGATAATAATAGCACCTACTTCACAGGGAGGTTGTAAGCATCAAATAGTATGTAAAGGGCTTTGCACATCTTCATGTGTCATATAAAAATGTTAGCTATTATTATTATTTTGATAATGAGGCAGCCTGGTATGACAGATAGAGCACTATAGCACCTGAAGTAGACATAGCCTGGTTCCAATTTTGCTTCAATTGTTTTTTAGTTGTGTGACCCTGACCAAGACATTTAACCACTTGGAGTATCAGTTTCTTCACTGGTAAAATGAAGATAAAAATAATATCCACTTTACAGGGTCGTTGTGAGGGTCAAACAAGAAAATACTGTAATATCTACAACACTACATTTGCTTCAATCATACCTCAACTCATTATGAATTGAGCCCATGTCAAAGGGAATGATCATACTAGTCCAGATATAGGTAGCACGATTCTGCCCTTAAACATGCATTTTTGTATAAAAACTGAGGTAGTTATAATAAATGTTATTTTGCAGTGGATGCTTGTGTGTGTATGTATTATGAAAAATACTATATATTATTTACTATATGTTACATGTAATACATATTAGACATATTTAATATATTTATTTTATCAAAAGACAGTTCATTTTAGAGATTTGGTCTATATTCTGATCATAACAAGCAATTTTGGAGAGAATGTCTGTGTAACAAAGAGAAAATGTTTCTTGGAGGTGAGGGCTTGAAGTACGTAGAAAGAAAGACTAGAAATAATTTCTTTTCCCTCTGTCTTTCTTCCAGATTGCCTACCTCATCACCACTAATTCTTCCTAGGAAGATTTAGTACAAATAACAGAGAACTTTAATTTCTTTCCAAAGAACAACAGAAATATCATTCCTGCTTCTACAATGGCACTGCTGGAGGCAGTCTAAGGTTTATCTAGATATAATGGTTCTTTGGGGATGCTTTTCTCCAAAGGTACTATCCTCTAACACTCACAAGGCTGAAAATGCTACGGTTCTATGGTAGGAAAAGATTACAGTCAGCATTGTGTAATAGTAAGAGAATAGGTATGGAATTAAGTGATCTGGGTTCAAGACTCCCAGTACCTGGCACATAAATACTAGGGTAGGCATTTAATATATGTTTGGGTCCATGCCATGATGACATGTCAGAGTAGGACTTCAGTGGAGGAGCTGTTATAATTATTATTAAAAGGTTGGGGGAGGAAACCTTTGGTAACCTTGAACAAAGTGGTAGAGGTAGAAAATCTTTGCACATACAGAGGCTAAAGCCAGTTAACATACTTTTGGCCCTGAAAGAAACAAAAACTGTTAGAGGAAAGATCATAGATAAATGTCAGGTGCTGATAGGCATATTGATTTTTGATAATTCTTGGTCATTTTGCTTTTCACTACTGTTAAGTTTCCAGGAGTTTTCTTGCAGTCCTAGAGAATCATGCTGTGTACAGCAAAGCTGGAATTGATCAATTCTCTGGATGACGTTTGTAGGGCTGCCCTGGGTCTCAGAAGAATGGGAAATGCTGTTTTATAAGGTCATATTCAAAGTCTTCACTACTTGCAATGCATAATTCAGGGTCATAAAACATAAATGAGAACTACAGAGATCCCAGGCAGGAAGCTAAGGCAATGGACACAGTAAGAGTCAAGAGAGATCTGAGTCCAAATCTTCATTCTTCTACTTACTGACCAGGGTGATCTTGAATAAGTCAGTCCATCTTGATAAACCTCATTTTCCTCATCTATAAAATTCCTTTCTTCCTCTAAATCTTTTGCTAAAATCCTATCTTGCTCTAAATCTTTAGATTCTAAATCAACAAACTCTGAAATTTACCAGCCAAAGATGCTACCACAACAAAAAGTACAAGATAAAAAGACCTTGGTCCTAAGATAGCACTAGAACTAAGGTTCTTTTTTTTCTTTTTGAATTTTATTTATTTTTTCTCAATTACATGTAAAAACAATTTTAACTTTCATTTTTTACAATTTTGAGTTCCAAATTTCCTCCCACCCTCTCTCTCCTACTCCCTTATTGAGAAGGCAAGCAATTTGACATAGATATTACATGTGCAGTCATGAAAAACATATTTCCATATTAGTCATTCTGTGAAAAAAAACACAAATAAAAATATTAAGAAAAATAAAGTTAAAAAAAACAGTATTCCTCTATCTGCATTCAAATTCCATCAGGTCTTTCTCTGGAGGTGGGTCTTGGATCTTTGTGTTGCATGGAGTAGCTAATCACTCACAGTTGATCATTGTACAATATTGCTTTTGCTACGTACAATGTTCTCCTGGTTCTGCTCACTTCACTTTGCATCAGGTCATGTAAGTCTTTCCTGATTTTCTGGAAAACTTCTTACAGAGCTAGGGTTCTTAACCTAGTATCTGTGAACATGTTTTTATGTAGCTAGCTAGATGATAGATAGCTAGATAGAAATGGATAAACAGGTGATAGATAGATAGCAATATCTAGATGTCTATACATTTAAATATATTTAATATTTTATTATATTTAATATATTTAATTCTCTATATCTCTAGATTTTTTCTATATCATGTCATGATACAGATAAATGTACATTATATATGTTTAAATATAAAGAGATATCTAGATATTGCTATGTATTCATCATCCATCTATCTTTGTATCTATCTCAATCTCTATAGATAGCTATATTGCTATGAGATGAGTTGCCTGAGGTCACAGAGCTAGAACTAGAACCCACACTTCTTGATTCCTAGCCCAGGGTTCTTTCCACAGCAGCAGGACCATGAGGTCTTCTGTGCTAAGCCTCCCTTTAAGGGTATCCTGAGCCTTGGAAAGCTAACTCACTCCATTGAAAATACATAAGGCTATATTTGTAGATCAGAATTTTTTTTTAAAAGTCTGCTTAACACCAGCCCTAGCTTTACATTACCTGCTCCTTCCCCCTATTTTCCCGCAAGTATTTTAGCTCTAGGGCAGCCAGGTGGTAAAGTGGATAGAGTTCTGGGTCCAGAGTTAGGAAGACTTGAGTTCAAATCCAGTTTCAGACACTAACTGTGTGATCCTGGGCAAGTCACTTAACCCTGTGTGCCTCAGTTTCCTCATCTGCAAAATAAGCTAGAGAAGGAAATGGCAAACCACTCCAATATCTCTGCCAAGAAAACCCCAAGAAAGGGTCACAAAGAGGCAGACACGACTAAAACATGACTATACAATAGCAACATTTTAGCTCTAGTGACCAACACCTTTGTTTCTGCCAACTTACCCGTGCACTCTTCTCAGCTGATAACACCGCAGCTCCTTTCTCTTGGAGAGACTTAAGTTGAAGTTTGATTTGGGGATCTGAAATTTCATTTAGTGGAAATGTTCTGGAAATGTTGGACTGAGATTTATAAAATGCAGACCACCTGGCTGCTGCTTCATTCTGTAACAAAAAAAGAGAAGGACAGAATCATTGAACTGCTTCAACCAATGTGACCCAGAGATGTAAGCATCTAGGAGAGAGTGGTCTTTGAGAAGAATCTCATTTTTCCTAAAATGACTTAAATCTTTGTTCAAGGTCAGGCCTCAAAGTTAGGGTTTAGCTCTGTAATCTCTGGGATCAAATGTCCTCATCTTTCCCCTTAGTCATTACCCATCCTGCTGTTGCCGCTGCTGCTTCACCCTGCAAACCAGACCAAGAGAGGCTACTGAGGAGTTGCTAAGTCACTTAGCTCTGAGCCCCTGGGACTCTATGTCCCCATCTTTAACCTTGCCCCTCCTACTTTCTTCTACCTCTCATCCTGAGAACTATAATTAAATAAAAATTGTCATTGCCTCTGGCAAAAGTGGGTCAGTAGACCTGCCCTAATGTTCCATTCACCATTCCCAAGACTTTCCTAACTATAAAAACCTTCCCTGGGTACCACTCTCCTATACAGTAGTCTCTCCTATTTAAACAAGCTTTTTGAGGGCTGGCTCCTATATCTGCAGTTCCCATTGCTTTCTACAAAGCATCACATATAGTAAAACACTTATGAATGGATGAAAAATGCTCTTTCACTTACTCATTTCTTCATTCTCAAATAGCTTAATTCTCTTGTTACTTCAGGGTCAGAGCTCAAAGATCAGGGTCAGCTAGTCACTTCTGGCTAGCGCACCTAATGACCAGACTTTCCCATCAGTCCATTCTCTAGGAGTATAAGTCCCTCCCCTTAGCTGCCTGGGATTGCAGAGTCTTCGAGTTCTGGGCCTTAACAGCTTGACATCATTGAGATGGGAGTTTGTCAGTTATCAAAAGAACAACTGTGAATTATTAACAACCATGTGAAAGAATTCTCCAAATCATGAATAATAATTAAAAAATAAAATCAAAATCCCGAGGTTTCATTTCACATTCATTGAATTGGGAATAACGGCAAAATATGGGAATAGTCAATGTTAGAGGCAGTAAGAAAGAGAGGTACACTCAGTCATTGTTGGTAGAGCTGTGAATTAGTACAATTCTTCTGGAAAGCAACTTGGAATTGGGCAAATGGAGTGGCAAAAATGTTCACGCTCTTTGATCCAGAATTTCCATTGTTAGGCATATACACTAAGAAGGTCACTGAAAAAAAGAAAGAATAAATATGCATTGGGGGCAGCTAGGTGGTGCAATGGATAGAACACTAGCCCTGGAGTCAGAAGGACTTGAGTTCAAATCCAACCTCAGATACTTGACACTTACTAGCTGTGTGACCCTGGGCAAGTCACTTAACCCAATTGCCTAGCCAAAAAAAAAAAAAGAAAAGAAAAGAAAAAGAAAAAAAAGAATCAATATGCATCCAAAACATTTATGGTAGTAGTCTTTATGCTTGTAAAGAATTAGGAACAAAATAGATGTCAATCAATTGGGAACTGGCTAAACAAATTGTAGCATGTGATTGTAAAGGCATGTTACCAAATGGTAAGAAATGATGAACATATGAGTACAAAAAAGTATGGAAAGATTTTCATGAATGATGCAGAGTAAGCAAGGCCAAGAAAATAGCATTATACAAAAACTACATCAAAAATAATCAACTATGAATGCTGTGAAATTATAAAGAACAAGCTTGATTTCAAAGAAGAGATAGATATGAGAGGCCTCTTTCTGTACCTTTGTAGAGGTGGGAATGGTCCATGTTGTGTAATGCTAAGTTAGGTTAGGTTAGGGTTAGGTTAGGATTTTGATAGGAAAGCGTGGAGATGGTAGAGCATTCCAGGTATGGGCAATAACATGAGAAAAGGCAAGGAGATAGGAACCAGCAGTACCAGTTTAAAGGTAATAAGGGCACTGGCCTGGATGGCACACAATATTTATATTGGGGGGAAAAAGGAATTACGATTAGAAGAGTAGATTGAGAGCAGATTATTGAAGCCTTGCCCCTGAAGAGTTTGAAAATGTTTCAATAGTGGACAGTCATTGATGGTTTGACATGGTGTGGTGACATGATAAAAACAGTGCTTTAGAATGATGGTCTCTAAAGTGGGGGGGGGGAGATCCAAAGAGCTGAAACATGACAAGAAAAAGTGACTGTGGCATGACTCTAAAGAATTTGTGATCAACCAGTCAGAAATGGGTGAAGATGGGATTAGTTACATCCCGCACTCCAGAGGATAGCTAATGTGGGGCTTGTCTCTAAGAAAACCACACTTGGCCTTCACCCTAATGCACTGACACTGCCTCCTCCCTCCTCTGGACAAGCTCTCAACTTCCCTCATTGTGAGCCAGCATTGGTCCCTCAGCTAAATTATAACCTAATTTATAACCCACACACATCAACAACAGAATCACACAGGTGCCGCTGGGAAAATTCCATTTTTTACCTCCTCACATCCCTTTATGGCATCCCAAGGAGTGGGACTGATGAGTAAGAGCCCCACTCCCCCTTCTCATTGCAGGTGGCTAAGGGGGCAGGGTGTATAATCAAAAACATTTGAAGACCACTGCTTTAGAAGAGTATTCTGGGAACACCGGGGTTCAGTATGGGTTAGGAAAAGTGAGGCAAGGAGACCTACAGCATCATTTCACGTAAGGTGTAATGAGGGTCTGGAGTGGGAATGATAAGAAGGGAAACAGATATTGACTCGTATCAAGATAATTCCAATCCCTATTGGTCTAGCAGAACCAGAGCTATCCTGTGGAACAGTAGCAAAGGGCAGGAGGGAGGTGCTAGATGCAAATTATGGAGTCTAGTTAGGCTCCTCTCGGGGCAGCTAGGTGGTACAGTGGATAGAGCACCAGGCCTGAAGTCAGGAGGACCTGAGTTCAAATCCGACCACAGACACATAACACTCACTAGCTGTGTGACCCTGGGAAAGTCACTTAACCCCAATTGCCTAAAAAAAATAAAATAAAAATAGTTAGGCTCCTCTCTAAAATCTCACCCCTCATCTGTGTTTTTACATTTCATTCCTTCCACTATCCCCACTCTTCCAAATCCCAACCCCAAATCAAAAAATTACAGGATTAGCTCCCAAGTAAATATTCCATTAAAATTTAAAATCTCTGGTACTTATAAAACTACTCCCTAAGGAGCTGCAATTACCTCTGGTCTTTATTTTCAGAATAGGTGTATTTATATACGGCTCTTGGCTTCCATCTAGTACTTATAGCCTCACACCTCTGTACTTTAGAAATACATCAGAATCATGGCTCTTTCTTTATACTCTCCTTTTTCTTTTTATTTTTTTGACCTGATGATTTTCTGTGTTCTTCCATGCTATTCTTTGTAACGTTATTTCAAATATATTAAACATCCACAACTTATTGCTACTCATCCAAAACAAAGCTAATCCTCACACAGTTCTCCAAGAGAATGGAAGACAACTCCTATACCCAGGCTGCATGATTCAGGAGAAGGAAGATTTTTTTTTTCTTTTTAAATGAACTCTTCAAGTCCACAATGCTTGTCCACACAGCTCCTAACCACTGTTGAATCCGAAAGACAGATGTTTTTCATGGTTCGTTCCTTTTAATAGACTTATTAAGAAAAGAAAAGCAGCAGTGGCCAAAACAAAAGAAATCTTGGCAGCTCTGAGTGTTGGTAATTCTGGAGACCTTAATTTTTATATATTTGCCCTGTTTTAGAATGACAGAAACTCAGAAACATATTAGGAATTCTCTTACCAAGCTCCTGGGCAGCTAGATGGTGCAGTGGATAGAGTGTCTCAGGCCTGGAGTCAGTTGAACTCATCTTCCTGAGTTCAAATCTGGCTTCAGATTTGTGTGACCCTGGGCAAGTCATTTAATCCTGTTTGTTTCAGTTTCCTCATTTGTAAAATGAGCTGGAGAGGGAAATGGCAAAACCACTCCAGCGTCTTTGCCAAGAAGACCCCAAATCGGGTCATGAAGAGTCAGATACAACTGGAAACTACTGAACAACAATGTGGGACCAACAATAAAGAGTCATTTAGAGTTCTGAAACTACTAAAGTCAAGAGCAAAACCAAGTTGGAATACAAACTCATTCCTGGTAAGGGAAAAATATTATGCCTCAAAAACAGTAAAAATGAAAATAAGTCTATAGAAAGCTTGGTGTGTGATCTGCTGAAGCCAAGTAATTCCATGAGCATCCAAAGATGCTTATAGGATCATAGATTTAGAGCTAGAAGTAGACTTTAGAAGCCATTGAGTCTAACACCTTCACTTTATAGATGAGGACATGGAGGCTCAGTGAGCATAAGTGTCTTGTCTTAGCTGTCTTACGGAAGCAAGATGGCACAGTAGATAGAGTGCTGGACACAGATTCAGGAAGAGCCGAGTTCAAATCCCACCTCAAACTCTTCACTAACTGTGTGACCCTGGGCAAGTCATTTGACATCTGCCTTAATTTCCTCAACAATAAATAGGAATAATAATAGCATCTACCTCCAGCATTGTTGTAAGGATTAAATGTTGTAATATTTGGAAAGTGTCTTGCATATAGTAGGCATTTAATAAATGCCTGCTTCCTTTCTTCCTTGCCCGAAGTCACAAAGCTGGTAAGTGTCTAAGGCAGGATTCAAATTCAGGTCTTCCTGAAACCAATTCTAGTGCTTCAACAACACCTAGGTGCTTCAATGATGATGAAACTGTTAGGTGGGTAACAAATAGATAGAAAATAGAAAAAAAATTGACATTATTTCTAGAACAATGATTTTCAGCACCAGTGACAACAGAACCATCAAATTTGTATCTCATCACCTCAGTTGCTAATGTTATAAGGAATTTAAATTAGTACTAAATAGCAACTTACAAAGATGAAATTGGGAAGAGAGATTCTATCAGACTAGTGTAAACCAAGGAAATCAATGCCAAAAGCAACACAATCCTATAAGCATGAGAGATCTTTTTATAAGATAATTTAGGGGAAGAAAAGATCCCCCCAAAATGGAAAAAGAAATTAAGATAATTCATTCATTGCTGCTGGAATTTTGAACTTGC